GGGCTCCGATCCGTGACAGTTACCTGCGGGCTCCCTGCCATGTAAATGCCTGCCTTGACACGGCGACCGGGCTCCGATCCGTGACAGTTACCTGCGGGCTCCCTGCCATGTAAATGCCTGCCTTGACACGGCGACCGGGCTCCGATCCGTGACAGTTACCTGCGGGCTCCCTGCCATGTAAATGCCTGCCTTGACACGGCGACCGGGCTCCGATCCGTGACAGTTACCTGTGGGCTCCCTGCCATGTAAATGCCTGCCTGGACACGGCGACCGGGCTCCGATCCGTGACAGTTACCTGCGGGCTCCCTGCCATGTAAATGCCTGCCTGGACACGGCGACTGGGCTCCGATCCGTGACAGTTACCTGCCAGCTCTCTGCCATGTAAATGCCTGCCTGGACACGGCGACCGGGCTCCGATCCGTGACAGTTACCTGCGGGCTCCCTGCCATGTAAATGCCTGCCTGGACACGGCGACCGGGCTCCGATCCGTGACAGTTACCTGCGGGCTCCCTGCCATGTAAATGCCTGCCTGGACACGGCGACTGGGCTCCGATCCGTGACAGTTACCTGCGGGCTCCCTGCCATGTAAATGCCTGCCTGGACACGGCGACTGGGCTCCGATCCGTGACAGTTACCTGCCAGCTCTCTGCCATGTAAATGCCTGCCTGGACACGGCGCCCGGGCTCCGATCCGTGACAGTTCCCTGCCAGCTCTCTGCCATGTAAATGCCTGCCTGGACACGGCGCCCGGGCTCCGATCCGTGACAGTTCCCTGCCAGCTCTCTGCCATGTAAATGCCTGCCTGGACACGGCGCCCGGGCTCCGATCCGTGACAGTTCCCTGCCAGCTCTCTGCCATGTAAATGCCTGCCTGGACACGGCGCCCGGGCTCCGATCCGTGACAGTTCCCTGCCAGCTCTCTGCCATGTAAATGCCTGCCTGGACACGGCGCCCGGGCTCCGATCCGTGACAGTTCCCTGCCAGCTCTCTGCCATGTAAATGCCTGCCTGGACACGGCGCCCGGGCTCCGATCCGTGACAGTTCCCTGCCAGCTCTCTGCCATGTAAATGCCTGCCTGGACACGGCGCCCGGGCTCCGATCCGTGACAGTTCCCTGCCAGCTCTCTGCCATGTAAATGCCTGCCTGGACACGGCGCCCGGGCTCCGATCCGTGACAGTTCCCTGCCAGCTCTCTGCCATGTAAATGCCTGCCTGGACACGGCGCCCGGGCTCCGATCCGTGACAGTTCCCTGCCAGCTCTCTGCCATGTAAATGCCTGCCTGGACACGGCGCCCGGGCTCCGATCCGTGACAGTTCCCTGCCAGCTCTCTGCCATGTAAATGCCTGCCTGGACACGGCGCCCGGGCTCCGATCCGTGACAGTTCCCTGCCAGCTCTCTGCCATGTAAATGCCTGCCTGGACACGGCGCCCGGGCTCCGATCCGTGACAGTTCCCTGCCAGCTCTCTGCCATGTAAATGCCTGCCTGGACACGGCGCCCGGGCTCCGATCCGTGACAGTTCCCTGCGGGCTCCCTGCCATGTAAATGCCGCCTGGACACGGCGACCGGGTTCCGATCCGTGACAGTTACCTGCGGGCTCCCTGCCTTGGCCCGGCGACCGGGCACTGATCCGTGACAACAATGCACGGAACATCCCGTTCGCTTTCATGAAGCTTAAACACCAAATCTGTTCTCCAACGATTCACAATCTCTTTGATTCCTTGTAATTCACAAGGAAACTGGCTTGGGGCTTTGGCATGAGCCGGTACCTCCCCTGCCAGCGTGTCACCCTCTTTCCACCCATCCTTTAGCACCAATCTCCTGGAGCACTTCTCAGCCAAGGCTCGCTCGCACCTAGCGAGGGCCAACTGCCACTTGCAAAAGGCTGCCTGGCCCGCCACGCCTTGCGGAGAACC